TTATCAGCCATCTTTTTAAAACCAACATCACTTGTTATCATCTTTTTTTTTTATCATTTCTACAATGCCAAAGACTTCATCAAAGTAATTGTTGCTAGTTACATACAAAGAGCCAAAAATATGCAAAGTAGATGTATAAAAACCTCTCAAGAAAGGTAACATACACCTAACATGCTCTCAATCCTCTTCATTGGGCAACCCCTTCAATGATAAAAGCTCGAACCGGTACTTACTATCTTGCTCCTCCAATAAATCAAAAGCATCTTGACACTTGATGGCACTTTCTAGCATCAAGTATGTTGAATTCCACCTTGTTTTAACATCAAGAGAAACAAGGTTTTTACTCTCAATTTTCATTTTCTCAACACATCCCTTAAAGCGTTGAAGGCTAACTGGAGAAGACCTCACATATTTCACAACTGATCAAATTCAGGCAATACTTGTATCTACATCTTTTAAACCTTCTTTGACAACAAGACTTAAGATGTGGGCACAACATCTCATATGCAAATGTTGACTATCCAACACACTATGCTTCCATGCATTCAATCTTCTTTTTAGGTATCGAATACAAAGGTCATTTGAACTAGCATTGTCAACTGTAACTGTAAAAACCTTGTCAATTCCCCAATCAAGTAAGTTCTTCTCCACATATTTTCCAATTATCTCACGAGAATGACCAGAAACAGAACAAAAGTTTATTATTCTTTTGTGAATGGTCCAGTCTTTATCAATAAAATGAGCTGTCAAACACATGTAACTAAGATTTTGCCTAGAAGTCCACAGATCGGTTGTTAAAGAAACTCGTTGTCTGTTCTTAGCAAAATACTTCTTCAACTTTTCCGCTTATGACTTGTATATCTCCAAACAATCATTAGTAATAGTGGTTCTTGAAGGGATTTGAAATTGTGGTTGTAACATGTTCAAAAGGTCACGGAACCCTTCATGTTCGACAGTCTTGAAAGGTAATTCATCAATAATGATCATTCTAGCACACAAATATCTACACTTGGTTTTGTCAAATTTCCAAGGGACAAATGTAGATATGCTTTCTCCGTTTTCGTATTTAGAAGCTTGGTTTTGAAACATCAATAGTTTTTGTTTTTTGTCGATGTTATCAGGGTTCTTAGTGCAACGTGTTGTATGATTCCGCATAGAACTAGCTCCATTCTTACTAGGACAATGCAATCGTCTAGTAGAATGATTACAAACAGAGTAATTAGGATCATCAGGATCTCTAGTAAAATGTCGCCATGCTTCTGAAGTATCCGCTTTTGCTTTCTTTTTTCGGTCTTTTTCCCTTCATCCACTTTCTTGGCAGTTTCTGTTGTACTTTTAGGTGAAGGATTAACACTTACATTTGAACTTCCAGATTGTTGTGTTGGTGAAGAATCAACATCAACCTCCATTTCAACCATTTTTTTTCTGAAATTCAGTAAGTCATAGTCCCAAACAAGTTAGAAAAAAAATTGTTGGAGTTCAAATATAGACATAATTCAAATACCATACATGCATACATTGATACAATACATATTCTACAGCAATAAACATATAGTCAATAATCTACAGCAGTAAACAGATAGTCAATAACTCAATCAGATACCAAAAATTTGTGAAATATGGGATAGATGATCAAATGAGAATATGATACCCATGTCACATGGTCCACAGCATAACTCGTCACTCTCATATATAATATATTGCCCTTTATGTGAAAATGGGATTATGGGAAAATATATCTCCTAATAGAGACACGATGGATTTTGAAGATTAAATATATCTCTAAATGCATTACTGGAGCAGCAATATTACTTAAATCCATGAATATTAAACATTAAATCATAGATTTGACTTAACGATTTTGTAGGGTTTTCGTTTTTTGAAATAAAATAAAATAGAAACGTAATGTCCAGAACTCAGAAGACGAGAAGTGATGCAGGTACGAACAATTTGAGGAAGGAAAAATGAGAGATCGAACACAGTATGGGAAATACCTGATTATCGAGTACTAAACAATGGAGATGGAGGGAACAATGCGTCAACGTCGCTATAAGGCTGACCGTCGTGAACTGCTTCTGCCTTCTCGACTCTCGACTATCGAGCTCCTATAACAACGACGTCGCTGACGAGTGACGAGAGCAATGGTGGAATTCCGGCGAGACGACGAGGAATGGTGTGACTGAGTGCCAACGGAAGTTCGAACGAGGAACGATGGCCGATGAGGCGATGATCGAGTGATCGTTTCTTTTTTGCCCTAGCCCCTAAGCGAGAGAATCACAGAATGAGTACAGTCGAGTGCCATTTGGGCCATTTGGAATGGGTTGTAACTTGTAAGCCTGTAACAAATTTGTAATTAAATTCTATATTATTTTATTATATTACATAATATAAATAGTATATAAACATATAAATAATATAATACAGTTCGGTTCGGGTATCCGCGGATATCTCAATATCCAAACCAAAACCGATCCGTATATACCCGGTTTTTTTCGGTTTCGGTTTCGAATCGACCGGATCGGTTCGGTTTTGCGGATTTTTTTGCACACCCCTAGATGGAGGATAGTAACATTGTGAAAGGAGAGGAAAATGATGGGTGTGGTGGGAATGGTGGGACCCTAGTAGTTTAATATTATTAATAGAAACAAATGAAAAAAATAAAATAAATTCAAAATGATATATAAGTCTTTTTATATAGATAAGGATCAATCATCATAAAAATTAAAACCATATGGACCGATGGACCTTCCTAAAAAAATAGAGATCAAACTTGATATTTTAAGAAAATAGTTCTTTTACTTTTCTTCGTCCAAAAAAAAAAAAGAAAAAAAAATTAGATTTTTTGCTAGAGGTTCCAAAAAAATGAGATCGCATTTTATAGGATTCTTCTCTGGAACAAATAGCAAATGCAGACTTAACAATTGGAAGAGGCTCACGCATCAGAATATTGCTTCATACATGTAAACAGGACTCATCCAACCCCATTAAGAACTATATCAACTTAATATGTTGAGAGCGATTTGAAAAATCCTTAGATACATTACAGACACAAACAAAAAGATTGTTTAAAGCATCGAACTCTTTCCACAAGGCATTCGATTTATTATAGCAATCAGATAAAATGTTAGAGCCCTGTTTAATAAAGTATAGCAAGATTGTCAAGATCACTGTTCAAATCTTAGAATCGTGAGAAACGACCCGGTTCGTTATTTATAGGATCCAGTTTGAAGTGAGATCAGCCCTGGCCCATGGGATCGTCATCTCTGATCCTATCTCTAACTTGAATTCGGAATATTTACCAATTACCCTGTGTTCTTTTGAATTTCGTCAAACCGTTAATTGTAAACCCTAGAAAGCTAACTCCTACCCCAGGCTTCATCCTCCCAAAAAAAAACCCAATCGCAACCTAAAAATCCATCCCGTTCCATGAAGCTCGAAATTGAAGCTAAAGGTTCGGTTTTACGTGTACAGTACCGAGCTCCGAGCTTGAATCCTTGAACAGAAGTCGAGATTGAAGCCACTCAACAAGAATCAAGGTTCGATTTTCATTGCTTCAACATGATCATCTTTCTTTTCTTTGAATGTAGTATCTGATTGCAGATGCTCATCTTAAAATTAGCTTTCATTTGATTATTGCAAATGACCATCTTAAAATAGAAACAACTTCCTTTTCTTTAGTTAATAATAATCTTGATTTCAAATGGAGTGTGCATAGGTAAGTTGTAGGGATTACATTCCAATGTTTAGTGTCTAATTTGTTGACAACCTTGATTAATATATTTCCGTGATTAATTTATTTTCAACAGTAAATCACACTCGAAAGGTGTTAATTGTTATTTATAGCTCAATCCTGGAAAAAAAATACAACGTAATATATTCCTTTAATAGGATTTAATTCAAGAAAACATCATCATGTTTTATTATCGTTTTATTTGTCTATACTCAAAAAAGTTTCTTTTATTGGGATATGAGGTCAACTCTTTAGTTTGACTTTGATAGTTATAATGAGATGTAACTGATTCTGTAACCACTTTCTTTAATATCATGAAATAAAAATAATTTTTTATGTATATAAATTGGATAAATTGATGCACAAAACTGAATCTAAGCTTTCAGTTATGTGATCTCATAAATTAATTCATAGAGATAGATTAACCATCCTGATAATTGTGACACGATTTCTATGCGTTTACTATTTTAATAATTTTTACACGTTCTCTATAAAAACCAAATTTTAAACAGTTTGCTATGCAACTATTATAAGTATATACTATATAGTACTACCTTCAAAATCGTATTTTCTACATTTTCTGCCTGCTTGCATATTTTATGAGACCTTAAAATTAAATATGGGAACATCTGTAAGCTATGCAAATCATTAGTAATTTCATTTATTCAACTTCCTGTATATTTTGTTCCCATATGAGATCTTTCAACAGTCAACTCGATCAATTGGCTTTGGGTTATGTTAAAAAACTCAGTTAAGTCACGAGTAAATTCTAACCACCTATATACCAATTTTATAAATAAGATTAATGTACATTTAAAATTTGGGACTTAACTTATTCCTTACTTATTAGAGAGAAGGTACTACAGATAAAGAAAAGGGAATAGGATTATGCTTTGTGTGTTTCAATTGTGTTTATTCCTTACGTATTAAACTAAATTAGGAACAAAACATTAAACCAAATCTAGAATAATGAAGACTTTGAGAAAACAATGTCCAGATTACAACATCATTTGTATTTTCTATTAGATGATGTTTAAAGCATTTAGAAAATACATCATAAATTATGTCAATTGTTGATATAAACTCATTAATTACCAGCAATTCCATATTATAAGGGACAAATAGGGAACTTGATTGCTAAATTACTTAAAGAAAATTAAATTAATAAGAGAAGCAACTTTTAAAAAATTTCCCACACATATATGCTCTTTATTTGCTATAAATAAGATAGCGAGTTTAGCATCATTATCGTAAAGAGAGACATATAATTATGATAGAGGCACTTGAAGTAGCCGAACACGCGCATCCACTAAAGCTCATTGATTTGCAGCAAGAATACAAAGAAGAAGAAGAAGATGATGATGATAATGAAGAAGAAGAAGAGGGTGGTGATCAGATTGCAAAAAAAGAGGTGTTTGGAGCTGTCACATGTAGGAGGTGTAGGGAAGAAATACATATGTACCATAGGTACTACTACACATGTTGTTCATCATCATGTGATAAGAAGGTCTTCACATTTCATAAATTCTGTGCTGAGCTCCCATCAACGTTAGAGCACCTATCACACCCATCATATCTTCTTCGCCTGGTACCATTTCCATATTCATATGTAGATTCATTTCCTCGGATATGCAATATTTGTAAGAGAAATCACAAGCCTACAGAACATCGTTACAAATGTCATAATAGATGTGATTTCTCCATTGATGTCAAGTGTGCCTTGGAAGTAGGAAAAAATATCATTTATCATCCATGCCACCCTCACGTGCTAATTTGTGCTATCCCTAAGCCCATATTATGCGAGTGTAGTGCTTGTGGGAAGGAACATAAAGGGGTCTTCTATCAATGTACCACTTGTGGTGGCTTCACCATTCACAACGATTGTGCTTTCCTACCAGAAAAATTGTTCATCCAAGAGAGAACAGATGGTGCTTTTCATCATACTCATCCCCTCACTATTTCGTATTCCTTCCCATTGATTGATCAAGATGCCAAACATCATCCTAGATGCAGAGTATGTGGTGATGATTTCCGTGGTACGCAAAATCTTTGGATCTACAAATGCGATAGATGTCTGTACTATGCCCATTTGGATTGCGTGAGTGTGTCGCCTCCAACTGCTGGTAAATCATATCATTTGTTTTTTACTTTCACAATTGCTTTCCCTTCATTACTTATTATATATCATTTTGTAATTGAATTCTTTTTATATCTGGTACAAAATAACAAACTCTTAACTACCAATTTATGATCAGGCTTTGGGAAAACCATTAAAAATTATGAAGATGTTGACCATCCTGGTCTTCTCCATCTCCCGTTTCCCGATGAAACATACAGCCTACCAAAACACTATTTGTTTTTCCAACAAACCACTATTGATCATCGTCATCATAAGATTAAGGTGGATGATCACCTAACACATGACAGTCATCAACACCCTTTAATTCTAGTTGATGGTGAGACACAAATTGATATCGATGGCCAAACCCCCTCAAACATTATGTTTTCATTATCAATGTGTCATAACCCAATGAAAAAGACCCAACTGTTATGCAATGGATGTCTCAGACCAATCACAGTTACCATGAGGTTTTACGTGTGTGCTCAACAGAGTTGCAACAACTTTGCTCTCCATGAATGGTGCACTCGACTTCCCCCAAAAATAGAAAACCACCCGTCCCACCCACAACATACCCTCCATCTCTTATATTCAAACGACCTTCCTCGCTATTTCGGTGTGTTCTATTGTGATGTTTGTCGTCTACCTTGTAATGGATTTTCTTATCATTGTGTCGAATGTGGATACCATGTTGATGTTACTTGTGGTTTTATACCTAAAGAAATCACACATGAAGCTCATCCCAATCACATCCTTTCATTGGCTCAAAATAAAAATGCAAGTGCTCTTTGTCTAATGTGTCTCCAACGTCTTTCTCTAGGACGATTTTCATTCTATTGCAATACATGTGCTTTATGTATACATCTCGAATGTGCTTTGTTACTACCCGAGACAATCAGGCATAAGTATGACAAGAAGCATCCCATGCACCTAAGTTACCTCCCAATTGAGAATCATAAGAGTGAATACTTTTGTGAAATTTGTGAGAACGATTTGAATCCTCATGCATCTTTCTATCATTGTAAAGATTGTGCTCAGTCTATACATACTGAGTGTGCTTCGTTAATTCTTCAATGCGAGACAGAGACCTATGCCGTGCATACCGCGTGTCCAGGAGGCACTCACTCTTATGTGAATATAAAGTTTGGAGACATTTATAACACCAATCGTCACGAACACCCTATCTTGTTTGCTCAAGGTATCATTTCAGATGGACAATGTAGTACGTGTGGTATGAGATTACAATATAACATGATCTTTAAATGTCTCAAGTGTAAGTTGGTAATTAATTATGAGTGTGGGTTGCCGTTCTAAAAAATAAATAGTGGGTTGTCTGCCTCTGATTATGTTTGTTGAGAGCCTATCACCTACATATTATATTATTATTGCCAAGTTTATGGTTTCTTCTCCCATATATATGCTTGAAACCACAATGATATTTGTAATTGTGACTACTTTCTTGTATTTTCCCATCGTTTATGTAGTAACATGATACAATATAAGTAATTAATTTGATGCAAATGTGCTTTAGTCTTGCAATCTTTTTGTTCAATCTTTTCAGTTTCTTACTCGCGAAGAAGAAATCAAATAAATTTGAGAATCACATTATATGTACTATTTTTTCTAATCTTTTTAGAGGAGCAAAAACAAACATAAACCTCCTTACTTCGTGAAATTTCGGAATACTTCGAAACATAAAATCATAATCTGTCATAACGACTAGTATGATGCTATTTCTTATGCATTGAACTCGTAAAAGTTTAGGAGTTTAATGGACTCTACATAACAGTTTACGTTTTATTCAACTTTACCAATTAAATCTTATTAGTGGCACAGTAAAAAGATTTGATAGATAGTATTAACATAGTTAGAAATTCGAAAGGATATGTGTACAAAGTTTGTTTAAAATTTCAAGTCATATATATCCCAAATGAAAATCATAAACAAAATATAAAATTGAATCCACAAATTCATTTGATCGATGATATCTTGAAATTTCATTGATGATATAGTTAAATTTCATTTTTTTTAAAAACATAAATCTTCGAAAATCCAAATGTTTGCCCTTAATTTTTTGATATTGGTGCATTACTTCTTAGTTGGAACAATTCGTATCATATGAAATTAATGTAACTATAATTCAAATTAAACCCTGCATAAACAACAGCTTTATCACACAAATTAAACCCAACTTGATAACTTAATTCAAGGTTAACTAAATATTGAATTTCATACTTTTGGAGAACGGTTATATATTAGAAGTTAAAAAAAAAAAAAAAAAAAAAAAAAAAAAAAAAAACCTTATCACCGATTCAAAGTCTTCCTCTTAATGAAAGCTTTTTCGAGAGGCTTACTAAATAACCCCTTGGACAATTTGTCTAAACCAAAATGGGATTCAACTTAAAGAGATTATTGAATATCGTTTAACCTAACAACCTCGGTGATTCCTCCAAACCATTTGGGCCTCAATATGAAAAACTCCATATTCCTATTAAAATCGGCATATGACTGAAAAAAAATGGAATAGGGTTACAACTAGAACAATATGATGTACACTAAGGTAGGGATGGACGAAATAACAGAAGAACTTAAATGAAATCGATTGGAACCGCATAGGGTATTCAATTCGATTCTCGGATCCCTAAATGTCCATTTTTCGAATTCAGATTTTTTTTATTTCGTATTGGTTCAGCTCGGTTTAGGAACTAATCTCATACTAATACAAAGGAAAATTAAACATACATCTGGAATTGTATATGAACTGAATATGTAAATTGGTTCGGTTCTCGATTCACTAAATTTGCATTGGTTTCAAGTCTATTCAGTCCTATTCCAAAATTGATCTCATCCTTAGGCCGGACGGAGTGGGAGCGGGGAAGCCATGCGGGAACCTTCCCGCTGGCGGAACACTGCACCGTCGGTGCGGGGAAGGTAGGTGTGGGAAACGGAGAGGGGAGCCTCTCCCGCTCCCGCTCTCTCTCTTGCTGCGATTTTTTTTTTTTTTTTTTTTTTTTTTTTTTGAAATTGAACCGTTATTCAACGGTTAAAAAGTAATTTTTTTTTGCTGCAACGGCTAACTCTTTTTTTTTTTAAACCTTTTTCCACACCTATAAATACATACATATTTAACATCAAACAATATTCACACTACCTTCTTTTCTCTCTATTTTCTTCTAAAAAAAAAACCCGACAATCAAACCCCAACTTCTGATCGAAGGAAAAAAAGCCATGGTTCGAGTATAAACATCCCTTCTCGAAACATTTTTGCTATCGATTCATCCCCGCAAGGAGTTTACCGCCCCCAACTCGATGCTCCCATTCAATCATTACTACAATTTCAATACCAAAATGTTGGACAATATTCCCGATGCAAGTTCCAAATGTTCCGCCGCAAATGTTTTCAAACTTTGTTGTGTTTCCGGATCAACAATCGTCAAATCAACCTCAACCCCAAACTCAAACTCAAACTCAAACCCAAACCCAACAACAACACCAACTTGTCGATGTGTCGGATGACGCGGAAGAAGAAGAAGACATGGTTCCCGAAACTCAAGCAACACCACCCCACAAAGACGTAAAGGGAAAAAATAAGCGCGCAAGGGCGTCGCACAACCGGGAAGACAAAAGCCGACAGCATACTTCCACACGAAGAGCTAGTTTTGGTCAAAACATGGGTTGCCATTTCTGAAGATTGGATTCACGGAAACGTAAAACCGGGAGACCATTTTTGGTTTCGCATTTTAGAACAATTTCAAGAGGAGCTAGAAAAAGGTGACGACTACTGTACGAAACATCAACTTAATTCGAAGTTTTGAGAAATAACAAAGAGGGTTTCAAAAATAAACGGGTTGTACAACAACCTAAAAACCCAACGAAAAAGATGCCAAAGCGACGAACAAATACTTCAAGAAGCGTTGCAGTTTTACCTTGAGGAAGTCGGAAAACCATTCAAGTGGCATGATTGTTGGAAATTATTGGTCCGAAGTCATAGATGGAAAAAATACGAGCAAGATTTTATTTTTAGAATCCAACAATCAAAGAGAACGAAAATGGGCTCTAGTGGTTACACAACCTCCTCCGATGCTCAGGTCGGTCTAGATTTAAATCAGGACGGCGAACTCGAGCTAGAATAAATTGTCCGCCCAATGGGTGGGGACAAAGCGAAGAGAAAGGGAAAAGGGACTTCTTCGAGTGCATCTGATTTCAGCGAGGGCATTGATGAAATGCGGAAGATAACATCATTGTTTGATCGATATAATCTAAATTTCTCCGAAGCAGAAGCCACAACGAAACGGGAAGGAAATGAGCAAAAGCCACAGCGAACACAGCAGCATCCGCGAACCTCGACGCTCCGATCATTTACGTTGGGTACGCGACTCTTCATCATCGTCGGCAGTGAGACGGGGACTATGGGTGTTCTGGTGCTCCTTCGGTGGTTTCCGGCTTCAACAAACAAGGAGGCGGCATTCAGAAATCATAGAAATGAGGGTGTTGGCCAAAGGTGGAGGGAGGTATAAGGATGGTGGTGGCTGATGTTGAGGTAGGGTTAGGGTTACGGGAACGACGGGTTATAAACCCCATCTACATTCAAACCTTTGGGCATAATTACACTTTCAGTCCCTCTTTCACAAAACCTTCTCAACTTTAGTCCTATATTCACCAAACATACACTGACTTCTGAAATCCTTTTCAAATTAAATCCATAATTTACCAAACAGCCCTCAATCTTCAAAATTATTTACAAGCTAGTCCGGAAATTACACTCTTAACCCCAAAACCAACGTCGTGCAAAATTATTCCGAATTTAATGCTACTATTCATTTATTAATGTTATCTATTTATTTATTTAATAAATAGAATGTTACAGAATGATGAATGATGTATTCAAAAAAAAGAAAAAAAAAAGAGAGAAAAAAATTACAATGAACAATCATGAAATAAAAAGTGTTTACCATGGATTTGCTATTAATGGAAGTTCAACTATGAAATTCAACATTGATTAAAAAAAGGAAAATGACTTATCAGGATAATGATCTTCGTCGTTTTGGTTACATTTAGGTAATTTTTTTTATTATTATATATATTTAACCATTTAACTTGTTATACGTGTTCTCACATTACCATTGTTACCGGCTATAGCAGGTCACAATGGTAATATTTGAACATATTAACAAGTTAAATGGATAAATGTGTACAAAAAACAGAAATTTATCTAAACTTGAACAAAACGAAAAGTTAATTACTTTAATAAGTCATTTTTCCTACTTTTAATAATGATTTTATTTTACATATCTGTTTATATTATTATTTTCAAACATTGTTTTTAAAAGATCCATAATTTCCTAAATATTAATTAAATACTGATCAATTATAAATTTGATTTCTTAATTAATAAATATTTTTTGTTTTGTGAAATATTTTGTATAATCACTTATGAATTTTTTCTTTTGTTTTGTGAAATATTTTATTTTATATAATTACTTATAATTTTTTTCTTTTGTTTTGCAAAATATAATTTCCTAAATATTAATTATATTTTATATAATCAATTATATAATTTTTTTTATATAATCACTTATACATTTTATTTTTTAATTAATAAATATTTTTTGTTTCGTAAATTATTTTATATAATTATTTATAATTTTTTTCTTTTTTCTAAGCACATACAATATTTTTAAAGTCAATAATATCTAACAAAGTTAAATAAATTAAATATATAACAATAAGTATGGAGAGTTTTTTAAAAAGAAAAAGAAAATATTACTTAGCATATATATATATATATATATATATATATATATATATATATATATATATATATATATATATATATATATATATAATGTTTTAAAATTATCACAACTCTTTAATACTTTTGATTCAGAAGTTTATAAACTTTTAATTTTTTTAATACAACGTTTTAAACTAGTATTTAACGAAAATATTTTAAAATGATATAAAAAAATATTAAATTGTCATACAAAATCTATGAAATACTTTTAAAATGTTGTAAAAAAAGTTTAGAAATAACAGTATGAAAGTTAAAAAATTTGTATGAAAAAAAAAACGTTAAAAATTTTGAAGAAAAATTTTGAACTTTTATAAAGTATGTGGTTTAAAAACACTTCTATTAAAATTATATGAAAATATAAAAAATAAGTTAAAAAAAACTATAAGCAAAATTTAAAACATTGTATTAGAAAAACCTATAAGAAAAAAATATCATAAACATATTGTAAGAATTTATAAAAATTTTTTTAAAAATTCATAAAAAATTATTCACATTTAAACAATTTTTTATTTATTTATAAATTTGACCATTTAACTTGTTACATTTGTTAACATATTATTATTGTCAAGTTCTATAGAATGTGAGAATGTTAATATTTGAATACATTTAATAAATTAAATGATCGAATGTTTAAAAAAATGTCTAAACATGAACAAAACAAAAAGATAATTATCGTTGTAATTAATTTTCCCTAAAAAAAATGTTACGATATATATATATATATATATATATATATATATATATATATATATATATATATATATATATATATATATATATATATATATATATATATATATATATATATAGGGGATAGGGAAATATACATTACAGCCCCACCTAAACTTAGGTACTAAACCTCTAAAATATGTCGTTTTAACTTAGTAATTATACTCGATTGGTTTTTATTTGATAAATATATTGTCCCTAATAACATTTCTTCACTCCATTACCGTTTTACTATCCTTGTTTTCTTTCCTCCATTATCATTTATTATTTCATTCTAGTGAATAGTATTAGTGGAAGGTAGATGATAATCAAAGTTCTTGCTTCATTATCAAAACTATTGTGTACATCATGAATCTACATCATCAAATGTTAATCATGAATCTCTTATTCGCAATCTTTATATAGTAAAACAACATATTTTGATGATGTTTAGTACGTAAGCTTAAGTGGGGCTGTAATGTATATTCACTTTTCTCATATATATATATATATATATATATATATATATATATATATATATATATATATATATATATATATATATATATCACATAGCCTTTTACCGATACAAAAAAACCCTTCCCTCCTGTAGTCTTAAAATCAAACCCATAAAAAATCCAAAACCATGGGTCTCTCTCTATAGCCTCTGTTTTTTCTCACATTGCCCATTGTTTGTTAAATTAATAACATTACTTTCATGACGTCATATCAGTTCATGTTTAACTTCTATACTACAGTATTTTAATAAACCATATTACTAGTATACGACGACTATTATGATATTATCACACAAAATTTTAAATAAGAAAAGCAATTATCTAAAAACAAACTTCTATTTATCTTCATAATTAATATATTTTCAATTTATATTATATAAACTTCTAACACAGAAAACTAAAATTATAATCATTTTACTCATGCCCAAAAAAGTTTTATTACAATTTTAAACTACAATAAAAGTCTATTTATTTAGATATTACAATTTACAATATAAAAAAAAAAAAAAAGCTACTTTTACGAAAATATACATATACATATAATAATAATACACTTGCACGTTTGTTATTGGAACTTACACCATGAAGATAAGAGTCAGCCGACTTTCAAAAACCATTTACAGTTGCCGTCCGATCATAAACCCACAGAAACACTCCAACATGATATTATATATATACTCGCCTCCTTCAGCCTTCTACAGCCCATTCCTCTTTCGACAATGGATTTTACGATCGCCAAAGCTAAATCACACTCGATCTCCTCCACCACAACTCCGCCGGAAACCGAAGATCTCGGTCCCGGTGCTACAGATCCGGTAACTACTCAACTCCAACTGGCTCATTATCAATCCGCTGCTTCTCTCGACAAAGAGGCGGTTCTCCGGCGAATACGTTATCACAAACGCTTACGCAAACTCAAAGGCACATTTGAGTCACTGGTGAATAAGAGCCCTAGCGATGGATACGACAAGTGGTTTGAACCCACCGATTCTTTCACTTCTCCTTGAAGATTAAATACCCCGCAGAGATGATTTGCGTACGGAGATACTACACGATGACTTGAATGTACGACAAGTACTGCGCAGAGTACAAGGGGATGTTGCAGAGAGCAGACCTTGGAAGGTTGAGATTCAAGAATGGAAGGTGTTTGAAGTTTGAATGCTCTTCAATCCTGGCCGTATATAATATTAATCGATAAACATCTATTTCTTTTTTAGGAAACGTTAGAATGTTATTTTATCGTATATTTTTATTTTTCTTTTTGTAATTTCCAAATCTTATATAATATATACATCCATATGTAGTATATTCTAAAGTTTACTTGTTTCAGTCAACTATGGCTGCATTGTAGCATCCTACTAAATTTGATAATCCTTCCTTTTATTTACTTACAGTTTTACACCAATTTTTTCATGCAACTTTTCCCATAATCCTATTACAACGTTGTACTTGAATTATTATTATTTTTTTCCATTCAAGGCATTTACTTGCAAAAATATACCTTTATATTCATGTTAGGACTATAGTATATACACAGCTACTTTTATGAACAATTTCACCCGAACAGGTCCTGGTAAGCCCACAAAGCCCTGGACTGGATATATGATCCGAAATAAAGCCCATGAAGTCCAATACTGGGCTGCTCATTTAGTGTTTAAAGCCCAGTTAAAGATATAGCTGGGCCGATGGTTATGTGAAACTCTAGCTCTCATGAAACTGATATTCAAACCCAACAATCGACCTAACCTTGCCTCCGATTGGACGTGGCATGCAACGAGAGACTGATCTATTTTTGAATCAGGACAAAACCATAACTGACAAAAGAGGTGAATATTAATATAGATACGAAAATCGTTACTAAAATCGGTTGCAAATCGTTTTTCTGACTAACTTTTGTATTTCTTTCATATTTTATAAAAAAAAAAAAATACAATATTTAATTTAGTACTAAATTGCAAAAACGATAATATAAGAAAATATACCGAACTAATTGCATTATTTAAGTACCCGTTTATCTTTTCATAAACAGATCCAAATAATTACCATCACGTGCATAAATATAAAAGTATTAAACGTTTCAATTATCTGCCAAGGTTCCCCCGAATTGCAATCATCAAGAAGATTAAAAATAGTATGGCTCGTGTTCGTATGTAACACAAGGAATCTAAGAAGCTTCACTCGGAGCAAATTACGGCCGACAGTGTGAGTTGCACACAGTTTTGTGGGTCCAAAAGCAAACACCCAAACACATTTCTCGCCTGATTTTGTGCTACTTTAACGTGGTATGCTTTTTCCTCGATATTTCCAAAATTGTTGCATATATAGCCTTCGTATTTCCTTCCTATTCATTCATCCAATACGAGTCGAATCTACGAATTTGTAGATAGTGACTAAGAGAGAGATTAAAGCGATTATATTCCTTTTTGTTTTTCTTCAACACAGGAAACATGGGCTCTCTCCTCTTACTTTGTATCATCTCTTTCTCTACAATATCGTATTCTCTAGGTGCTACAACTCCGTTTCTAGATGGTAGGTGCTTTGATTAGAATGATATTGTTGTATTAACTTGTATTGTTTTTGCACATGGCATAGTCATTTATTGTGCTATCTGGTTTGCGGTTTTGTCTATTAATCTTTAATACATTGTTTAACTTATGTAAATGCGTTTTTTCTCATTTTACATGATAGGGTTTCTTGCGAATGGCAACTTTGAACAAGGGCCAAGCTCAACAAAAATCAAGAATACAGTAATCTTGGGGAAGTACTCATTGCCCAAATGGGAAATCTCAGGTATTGTGGAATATGTACACGGTGGGCCTCAACCAGGTGGGTTCTATTTCGCGATTCCACGTGGGGCCCACGCAGCAAGGCTAGGCAACGAAGCCTCTATATCCCAAAATGTTGATGTTAAACCAGGGAAAGTGTATTCCCTTACGTTTGCGGCCACAAGGACTTGTGCTCAAGACGAGGTGTTGAGAGTCTCGGCTTCTGGTCAATCAAGTGACCTTCCGATCCAAACGTTGTATAGTAGCGATGGAGGTGACACTTATGCTTTTGCTTTCAAGGCTAGTTCAAGTCAAATCAAAGTTACATTTCACAACACGGGTGTCCAAGAGGACCCCACTTGTGGACCCCTCTTGGATGCCATTGCAATCAAGGAAATGCTTCCTTTGACCTACACCAAAGGTAAGTAATGAGACATTTTATATTTAAGCTGTCATAAAAAACATAATGTTTCTTTGAAAAAAAAAAAGATTACTTAGATATTAGTTCATTAATAATCGTTAGTTAAGATTGATGGTGGCCCATTAGTTTTAAGCTTGTCTTATTAAAATGTATCTCATAATGACAAGACTTCTACTAAAACATGTATAGTTAAACATTAGGGTAAACTACAAAAATGGCCCATATAGTATAGTCATAATTCCAACTTTCGTCCAACTATGCATTCCATTACATGTTTCATTTTATTATGTTTTTTTGTCCCTAATCCATGTAAAATGATTCTGAAACATAGGAAACTTGGTGAAGAACGGCGATTTTGAAAATGGTCCACATGTGTTCAAGAACTACTCAACCGGAGTCCTCTTACTCCCCAAAATACACGACATAGTTTCCCCACTCCCAGGGTGGATCGTTGAGTCCCTCAAACCAGCAAAATACATAGACTCCAAGCACTTCATGGTGCCACATGGCCTTGCGGCTATCGAGTTAGTAGGAGGGCGAGAAACCGCAATCGCACAAATCATTCGTACAGTTCCCAATAAATCCTACGTTCTGTCGTTCACCATTGGAGATGCGGGGAACAACTGCCATGGATCGATGATGGTGGAGGCTTTTGCAGGAAACAAGACTCTGAAAGTGAAGCACGAATCGAAAGGAAAGGGTGACTTGAAGATTGCTACTCTCAAGTTTATAGCTACTTCGTTTCGAACAAGGCTTACATTTTATAGTGCTTTTTATCATAATAAGCATAATGACTATGGACACTTTTGTGGGCCAGTGTTGGATGATGTTAAGGTATTGTCTATTAGAAAGAAGTGATGAACTCAATGAGTTGGATGTTGTACTTGTATACTGGTATTATAAGAGAGATAATTTCTTTAAGTGTGTGAGGGTTGGATCATAGATTAGATTTTTATACATCATAAATGAAGATCATGCAAGGCATTTAAGATTTAACCATCTTTTTGGTTATCTCCTTTTCTTTATAGTTAAGTTACATCAATAATATAAACATGAACTTTAAATCTAGTATTTTAGTTTATACTATTCAATCTATATTCTGAAAAACCGAAATCAATTTCAATTCACAAACATATCAAATCAACACCATACGCTTGAGTCTGATACAGCACAATCTTCCATGAAAACTATGGTCAAATGTTTCACATACAGAAAGGAGGAGAGTAATCAGTAATTAACCTTAGGATTGAAACTGAAGCTCAATCATTCAAAGAGTAGTTGCAGGATTTAGGTTTAATCTCGGGCCTTGACAATGAAATTCTGGCGACTGATGGGATTCATGACTACCGGAGGTCCAGCTGTACGAGGCCATGCTTGAAATTTCTTGTCAGTCTCTTCCCACCACTCCTTGTTTGAAACTGTAGAGGGAGTCGTACCTAAATATACACAAACAAACAGTAACAATCTTTCAGATGATTGGACATTCATATTCTGAAGAGTTGTACATGTATATATTATATATACTTGCCTCCAAAGATCTTCTTGTCTGCAATGATATAGTCGCATGCAAATGCAAGAACAAATGCTCCAGCAACACTACCAACAATCTTTGCTCCTGTCATTTCTTCAAATCTGTGAAACAAAATGAGTTTATATGGATAAATCGCTATTACTTCAACAAAATTCGCGATTCACAATCAATGATTCTCCCGCTGATTCAAAATAAAGAGCAAACAGTTGCGATTTGATACTTTACAACTCTTAAATTATGATATGTATCAAGCTTCATGTAAGAGCTTAATGGCTTTATCAATTTTTATAGCAAGTCCTATGTTATAATCAAAATTGACATCGATTTTGCATTTGAGAAGTAGAGCGTTTAACCTAAAAACGTTAGTATCTTCTTTGATAAGGAGGAGTACTAGATCGAAACCCCAAACGAACTAGCTTCGCTTCCAGGTTCGAGAATTAAGAGGTTTTATACAGTTAAAAAGAAACTATGCTTTTCCTACTCTTATTATTAGCAAAAACGATATGGATCCCATAGCAAGATTTTGCCTAACAGAACATAGAATTTAAGCTGAACTGCATTGAAAACATTAGACGAATATATGGAAAATGGAATGGGTTGTTGGATGAATCAATTCCGAATGAACTAACTATGAAACACGGATTTATAACGAAGCAATTAAAGAGGAAATGCAGTGAAGCTTACCTTGCTACCCTGTGGACTGAATCAAGAACTGACACTCGATGCCCTAGTCTGACGAAAAATAAAGAGGAAGTGAAGAACCGAGAAGAGGAAGGAAGATCGCCCAACAGAAGTTTCCGGAAACCCCAGGCCCAATTGTAAATTTGTAGTCTTTTCACCCTTTTATTTACATTAAATTACAGTTTTTGTCCTTTTGGTTTGCACCTTTTTTTGCAGGCTCAAATTTATTTTTGAAAAATTGCATCCATCGGTTTTTATGGTTCTAAAATTCATCATATTCCTTAAAAGCTGATTCCATTGGTTTTTATGATTTTAAAAACCATCAGTTTTGGTCTGTAAACTTGTTACTGTCCATTTAGTTAAGCATCAGTAAAATAATAAAATTAAGATTATTTTTGTTTTGTCGTTTTTTATTTGTGTCTTTTCTTCTTGTATTTATATTTAAGTTATTAAATAAGTGGAGCACGTCTCAAACTACCTTACACCCACCGTTGAACTCGTCGATAGGCCACCACCCCGGCTACAACTACTTAATCTCAAGCTAGTCACCAACACCACCCTACTGTGAAGAAAAACTCAATCTCACCATATACATTCTTCATCTCCCATAGTCCACCACTACCATTGTTCAAAAATAATCAAACCCCACTTGTAAAGGTGTAAACGAGTCGAGTTGAGTCGAGTACTGTCAAGCTCGAAGTTTGACTCGCCTAAAATACTCGAGTTCGAAGTTCGACTCGAACTTGCATTGAGCCTAAATTTAAAGCTCAAACTCGACTCATGAAATACTCGATACTATCGAGCTCGGTTCGACTCAACTAAAATTAAAAAAAAAAGTTCAAAGCATAAAAAATTAATAACATTTCACATGTTTTTACATTGTTCAAAATAACAAAAAATTCAAAATAAATCACTTAATGTCAATATAAAATCAACCATCTATTTCATTGCATTTTACATACATCTAAAACACCAAAAAGAAACATTCTCAATATTTTTGAAATACAGTTTAAGTCATTACTTCTTAACCGGTGCCTAAAAGCTAAAAGTATTCAAATGTTAAAGGGTAAAAATGTAATATTATAAATACTTAATTCAGGTGCCTAAAAGCTAAAAGTATTCAAATGTTAAAGGGTAAAAATGTAATATTATAAATACTTAATTCAGCTCGTGAGCTTTATGAGCCAGGTATTTTACTACTCGAGCTCGGCTCATTAAGATACTTAAGTAGCTTGAACTCAATTAAAGTTGAGTCGATTTTGAGTATTTTTCAAGTTGGGCTCGAGTATCTCATGAGTTGTCTCGTCTTGTTTACACCTCTACCCACTTCGGACCATTATTGTGATGTTCTTTTACAAAAGGATCATTTTAATCATTTCGCTTGTAATATCCCAAAAACATTGATAAAATTTTCATTTTTAATTTAATTGAAAATCATCGAGTGTTCATAACAAACCCAAACAAGTATGTCGAATGAGAGAAATCATCATAATACATATCTAAATCCTAGAGAAAATGCGAAACTTTAGACTCTTATCAGATATGGGACTTTAGGCCTTGGACTCGCCGAGTCCAGTCTTGACCAATTCCATACAGTCGATTTAAATGAGATCTAACACACCAAAACCATAGATCTGGCCTCCTAATGTCCGCTTTATACGTAAAGTTCCAAACTTGATGCACATGCATGGGGTTTTTAGCTCAAAAATCCACATAAAGTGTCCTAAAATGTTCATGGGGCTCTCCTGGCCCTAAAGTTGGCACCTTTATGCCATGAGACCCCTCTTAAGGTCCAGATCTGAAGTCAAAACCCACTCAACACTTCCAATTCCGAAACATGACTTAGCAATCCAAAGACATCCCAAGTTAAAGATGAATAAACACATAGATGAGTCAAGACAGGGGCATTATACCTTGAAGCTGCTGAAAATGAAGTAATATCCCTGGATCTACTGGCCTTAACTCAAGTTCCAATCTCCTTCCGTCCTTCCAAGCTTTACAACCACACAAGAACACCAAAAATGGCCTCAACAAAGCACAATCGACTAGGGTTTCAATGAGAAGTGTTTTGGGAGCATAAGAGACAATATGGCCATCATATCATTTGCTTAAATAGTGTGCAAACCCTCGGATTAGGGTTTTTATCCGAACAGTACCTACTCGCCGCGTCCGGGACCCGAATCGCTGAGTTCATCACTTAAGTCTCGAGTTCCGTCCCGCTTTTACTCGGTGAGTTGGTCCTTCAACTCGCCAAGTACAAGGCCAAAATGCGAACAAGATATAAATAGCTGAAGAAGGAATACGTACCAAGAACCAGGTGCTATCATTTTTATAATTTTCTCAAAGATAAAGACGGTTAGGTAAAACATAATTTTCACATAAAAACCATCAAGATAGTTTTATAAGGACCGTTTATATGATTTTATCAACACAAGGACCATCCTATAATTTTGAAATTAATCATTTAAAAAAAAAATCACATATAGACCATTAGATAATATGTATTTTTATATAGAGATCATGTTTATAGGTTTCTCAAACATATGCACCTAGCAAATTATATAAGGACTATTTCAATCATTTTTTCTAGATAAAAACATTTATGTAATTGTTTTAAGGGAAAATGTCATATTAGTCCATCGAACTTGTCGTGTTTGTTTTAAAAGGTCACACAACTTTTTTTGTACATTAAGGGAATGAACTCTCGTTTTCCTATTTTAGAATATCCTTATGTGACCTAATACCGATTAACTTGTAAAATGTGTGTTGTAACACCCGGAATTGGAGGAGTAACTTTGGGTATAAATCACCCTTTTTGGAGATTGGACACAGCGTGTTGGAGGCTCCAACACGGCGTGTCGAGATAAGAAAAGACGCAGGTTTCATGAAGAGCAACACGGCGTGTTGTCTCCTGTAACATAACGTGTTGATCGCTAGAAATGAAACCCTAATCTACCGATTTTCTTGCCCTTATTTAAAGGAATAAGGAGGCTAGGGTTTGTTCACCCTTAGCCCCCATCAGCCCTCAATCCCTGAAAGAAACCCTAATCATCTTTCCATCTCATTTACGAGCTAGTATGGTGTTTAGGAGCCAAAGAAGGAAGAAGTTGGAAGAAGGAACTGTTGGATTAGTGTCTAAGCCCGTAACTATATTTTGTAAGTACTTGACCCGGTTGTGCATGGTCATTTTGGTTTGTCTTCACTAAAGCGACGTGAAAGGATGATTTATCAAGTGAGAGGTTATTATGGTTTATCAATATATTATATGAATAATATATTAAAGGAAAAATGATATAGTTTAATTAATATTAGACAAGAATTAATTGAGAATTAATTATGTAGCTAAAAGACATTAATTAAATAACGGGGACATAAACTGTCAAATGTGTGATAGTTGAGTATGGGGCTGAGAAGGCTTATGGACTAGGCTTGGACAAAATTAGGGATGTATCCATCCTAATTTCGGCCATATAGGCCCTATTTCATAAGCTTCCTTGGACTGCTTAAGGCCTAACTTATCTATTAGGGTTTTAACTGAAACCCTAGCAGCACTAGTATAAATAGGACCCTAGGGCATCCATTTTTCGTCCACTTGAAACTCTAGAAGTCTTCATAGCCGAAATTCTGCCATCCCTCTCTCTCTCTTAATTAGCATCCTCTTGCTTGTGGTGTTTGTAAGCCATTAGAGGAGTGACATTTGTGACTCTAAGCTCCAAGACAAGAAGATTCAAGCCATTGAAGAAGAGGTAATCATCTAGATCTGTTTTCTTATGTCAATTTCGAAATATGCATGCTAGATCTAGGGTTTATAAGTATTGGATGAATTGCATGTACAATAGAGAAACCTAGATCCACGCATTAAGGTTTGCATGAGCACATAGGATGTTCTTTTGGCTCAAACCCATCAGTGGTATCAGAGCTTTGTTTGGTTTCTATTGTATTGATGCTTTACAGTTTACATGTTTCATCTTCTTAAAATTCGTTTTTTCTACCCTCTTCATCACCTAACTCGGCGAGTCACTAGCTGGACTCGGTGAGTCCAGTTAGTGACTCGGCGAGTCGGGGAGTCAGACAGAGGGATATTTGGGATTCTCTTACTGTTTTGCTGGAGGATAATTACCAAAATCATTTTTGACTAATAAAATCCGAATTTTATTGTTAGTATATGATTATCCTTACCAAAACAAAAGATAATTACCATTTAATTGAATAATAAATTCCTTATACGATAAAATTTGATTATTTAAATTATTTGATGAATTATCTTGTCATTAAAATAGAATAGATCAAATCTAGATAACCATTAAATTAAATGTTTAATTTAAATTATTTGCTATTTGATCATATATGTTTTGAAAAGTTCAAAACTTGCCCTCAAGTTTTGAAATTAAATTTTTTTGATTAAAAGTTTAATTTGAACTATTTAATTTTCAAACTCTAGAATTTTACAAGTTTAAAATTCAACCTTATACTTTATAATATTATAAGATATATATATATATATATATATATATATATATATATATATATATATATATATATATATATATATATATAAAACTTAAATGCTAGTCTTACTGTTAGTAGGCCTCATTCACGAAGCCGGTCTATCAGGGGGGATATAAGGTTATGGCCTATAAAATGGTCGTTTAATGGGTGTCCACTCTCACCTAACGCTTCCTTGATTTGTGGATGGTCATTAGCCGAACGGGTAGGATAGAGCAACGTTTTCCTCATTAAAAGTATAATGAATTTATAAAAGTAACTAAATGTTTTTACAAAATTCCCAATCTTAGTTGCTTTAGGAAAAAGTGAATTGATGCAATTCCATGAAATTACACTTTGTACCCTTGCTAAGATGTTAGTGGAGCGTGTGTGGTTAACCGACACACTAATTGGGCTCTAAGCAAAGGTGGAAAATGGTGACTCAATGTTTGTCATAGTTCGATGGAGCGTGTGTGGTTAACCGGCACGTCGAATAGGTGACTGTAACATTGAGGGCACAATGTACATTTGCATGGTTATTCACGTCTGCTTTGTGATCCTCGGCATCCCAGTCACAAAATTGAGGGGCATATCGAGATTTAAACATGTCATTGAAAAGTTCAATGAATCTCAAAAGATCTAGGAGTTTTCAATACATTTAAAACTTAATGTTAATTTGTTTTTCATAGTGGAAAATTAGTGAATCGTCATTCACTTACCTTCAAATTATTTACTTGTTAGATTACGACATCCCTCTTTTAATTTGTAAATAATGTTGTTGGATCCTAGCCCTAATTTCTCATTTGGGTGTTTAATTGGGGATTCGTTTCTAATCAAACTTTTTTCTTTTTCCTTTTCAGATGTCGAATATCAACAACAACGCTTTCGGTTCAAGTTCCTCTAGCTCGTTCCAACTCATGAACTTGTGTGGGAGAGTGATCTTTGACAGGTCCAATTTCAATGATTGGATCCGCAACATCCGAATGGTTACTCATTACGAGGACAAAGAGTACGTCCTCGATGAAAAGCTGAAGGAAATCAACATCAACACTGCCTCTGCTGAAGAGATCGTGACCTTTGAGGCCCATGAGCGTGATGCTACGAAAGTCCATTGCATCATGTTGGCGACTATAACTGTAGAACTCCAGAAGTCCTATGAGGACATGTATCCCTACGAGTTGCATGAAGATCTGTTGGACCGGTACCACCAGAGCGTTAAGCAAGAAAGGTACGAGATCATCACGTCGATGATCATTGCCAAAATGGGTAGTGGAGAGTCCCTTACCGCTCATCTGCAAAAGATACAGAGATACGTCGATCACCTACTAAAGTTGAATGAGAACTTTGATGAAGAGCTAGAAATTGGCATCATCCTTCACTCCTTGTCTCCCTGCTACAACTAGTTCTGCATGACCTACCACATGAACAAGGAGGAAGTCACCTTGAGCAAGCTTCAAGGATTATTGAGGACTACTGAGAGCAACCTCAAATATAAATCTGTTGCATCTTCTCCAACTCCTGTTGATGCCTTAGTCTTGGCAATTGGGCAAAGGAAGGGTAAAAAGAGGAAGGCTCCCTCTAAGAGCCACCATAAGGGAAAGTCCCAAAAGGGCTCTTCTTCTAGTGGAACCAAGGCTGGTTCTGCTAAACCCAACTCCAACCCCAAGGAGGCAGAGTGCCACTACTGCCATGAAATAGGGCATTGGAAACGAAGCTGCCCGAAATATCTGCAAGATATCAAGGATGGAAAGATCAAGCCGTCCTATGAAGATATTTACACTATTAAATCTAATGATTCATCGCATGCTATTTCTTGGGTACTTGATACATGATGTGGTTTTCACATTTGTTCTAATTTGCAGTGCTTAAGAAGAAACAGGGATGTCGAGCATGGGAAGATAAATTTGATCATGGGGAACAGAAGATCGTCGCATGTCACCAAGATCGGAGTTTACTCTTTAGTGCTCAATAGTGGATTAGGATTAGATTTAAATAATTGTTGCTATTCTCCAGATATGGCAAGAAACATCATTTCATTTCATGGTTTGTAGAAACAAGGTTTTATATATTCATTTGATAATAAAAAGGGTTCTATTAGTGCTTATCTTAATGATGTTTTCTAGTTTGAAGCATTGCCTTGTAATGGAATACATGAAACTGTGATGGTTGTAGACAATTTAGGAAATGATGTGTTGTGTATTGATTCTTCCAATGGTTTGGATAAAGCATGCTTGTGGCATTATCGTCCTGGAGATGTAAAAAAGAAACGCATAACCCAACTCTAAAAGGATGGAGTATTGGAGTCATTCGACCTTAGGGACGATGAAGTGTGCGAGTCTTTTTTAGTTGGAAAGATGACCAAGTCACCCATCACTGGCACTTGTGTGAGGGGTGAGGGTTTATTGGATCTCATACAGACCGATGTGGGTGGGCCCTTTAGATCCACCACAAGGGATGCAAGCCGCTTCTATGTGACTTTCACCGATGATTATAGCAGATATGGGTATATCTACTTAATCAAGCACAAGTCGGAAACCTTTGAAAAATTCAAAGGTTTAAACAAGAAGTTGAGAATCAGTTGGACAGGAAAATCAAGATGCTTCGATCCGATTGAGGTAGAGAGTAACTAAGTCTTGAATTCCATGACTACCTCAAGGAATGTGGAATCGTTTCGCAACTAACACCACCTAGGACACCACAGTTGAATGGTGTGGCTGATAGGCATAATCAAACCTTACTAGACATGGTTCGTTCCATGATGAGTCGTGCTTCTCTACCTATCTCATTTTGGGGATATGCCTTAGAGACTGCCACCCATATCCTTAACTTAGTCCCTACGAAGAAGGTTTCCAAAACACCTCATGAGATGTGGATAGGGAAAGCTCCCTCGTTGGCACATATCAAGGTTTGGGGCTGTGAGGCTTTCGTAAGACGAGAGACTCACGGCAAGATCGAGCCTCGCAGTGAGCAGTGTATTTTCATCTTCTACCTGTAGAAGTCCTTTAGATATCTTTTCTATAGACCAAGTGACAATGTTGTCTTCATTGCCAGGAGAGGGGTTTTTCGAGAGCAGGAACTCATAAGCCAAGGAGATAGTGGGAGGAAAATCGATCTTGAATAAATTCAAGAGTCGAGCGATGAAGGAACCTCCAACACTGGTGCTCAACCCGAGGAGGAAACTTTGGTTGAACCAATTGAAGAGTCCTTACCTCTTAGACATTCTGAAAGAGTTAGGGTTCAACCCCATTTTTATGGTTTTCATATTACTATAGAAGGGGATATGTTGATTAGTGATTGTACACTAGTGAATTTGGGTGAACCTAACAGCTATAAGGAAGCTATGGTAGGCCCGGAGTCTGCAAAATGGAAAGAGGCTATGGACAGCGAGATTCAGTCCATGTATGACAACCAAGTTTGGAATTTGGTTGACAATGT